ACTTTAGCTATTTTTTGAGCTAAAAATAAAAAATATTTATTAGTAAAATTAAAAACTTTTATATGTAAGAAAAAATACGTATTTTACTAATTATAATTAGTAAAAAATTTAAGTGTTGCATTATTTTTGATTGTCACTGTATATAAATAGAAAAATAATATTAAATTTTATTAATATTATATATATTTATAATTAATTAAGATATTAATAAAAATTATTATAATTATAAAATAAATATTATATTATTAAAAATATAATATTTATTTTTAAAACTTGATTAAAAAATTAATAATATTATATTTTTTTTGATATAAAATTGATTTTAAATATAAATATTTATCTTAAACTATTAAAAATATATATTTTTACTAATATTAATAATATTAAAGAGTTTTTATTATATATTAACAAGAATGTATATTTCTTCTAAGATTTTTTTAAAAATTTATTCTAAAGATAAGTAATAATAATAAAATATGAAATAGATTAATTAATTAGATTGGATTTTTTAGATAGATTTATTTAAAAAAAGAATTTTTAAAAGCAAATTTAAATTTGTTATAATTTAAGTTTGAATTGATCTTATAATACTTTTATTTGTATATTTTATATAATTATTATCAAGATTAAAGTTAACAATAATGAAAAAGTATAATAATAAAAAATTACTATAGTAGAAAATACAGATTAACTGAATATTATATAAATTTACTAGTATAACTCTTTTATCTATTACATTAATGATTTATTTTAATCTATTACAATTATTATCTTGCTTTACAAGAATTATATTTATTCAATATCATTTTGCATTATAAATAATATACGCGAAAAGTTATTCAATCATCAGTCTTATTAAATTGGCGGATATTTACGAGCTCTAGTGGCAAAAATCGAGTGTAAGACATACCATTCGATTTCCTAGGTTCTGTTAAATCGAATGGTGGGCTTTGCATTCGATTCCCGCTGGGTCTCGAAATTGAAAATAGTAAAATTAGATGATCGTAAGCAACCGGCAATTTCATATCACGTGACACCATCCATGGTGAAATGGGGACACCCTAAGATAATCATAAAAATTTCTGTTTGTTAATTAACATAATTAACATACCGTGTCTTATACTAACGATTCATATAATTAATATCATGGTATTATTTCAATGTATTTCGTGTATTTGTTCCAGTTGGTTAGCTTTTTAAATTTTTATTATAGGCAGGCGCGATTTCAGCAACCTCAGAAATAAAAGACATAACACGAATGGAGCGCATAGGTCTTTAAACAGCGCGTTATTTGCTTGCTTTTAACTTGTTCAAGAATTTTGTTGATTTTGCTTTAAATCTAGGTGCCCATTCTCACATAAGAGGGCTAGGCCTTGATGAATCACTTGAGCCAAGACAGGTTTCTCAAGGCATGGTTGGTCAATCCAAGGCTCGCAAAGCAGCAGGCATAATTCTTCAAATGATTAAGGAAGGGAAAATCGCTGGTCGAGCTATACTCATGGCTGGTCCACCAGGAACTGGCAAAACAGCCATTGCTACAGGTATTTATTGTTTTTCAATAAAAAAAAATTGACGATTTCTTAGTCTATTCTCGAATTCTCAATACATTATGTTGATCGATTGCATAGGCATGGCTGCATCGCTAGGAAAAGATATACCATTTACTATGTTAGCCGCGTCGGAGATATTTTCATTAGAAATGTCGAAAACAGAGGCTCTGACGCAAGCATTTCGACGTTCTATCGGAGTGCGGATCAAAGAAGAAGCTGAAATAATAGAGGGGGAAGTAGTAGAAATCCAAATAGATCGGTCAGTAACAGGAGTGAGTTGAGTTGTTTTTGGTGCCGGAGCTTTTAATTTCCATCCTACACATTTTATATATTATTCTTATTTTGTTCCGTTGTTTTTGTTATTGATAACTATATTTAAGGGAACAAAACAAGGCAAATTAACGCTTAAAACCACTGACATGGAAACTATTTATGATTTGGGTCACAAGATGATTGACGCGTTAAATAAAGAAAAAGTCTTGGCTGGGTAAGTTTCTCTCTACTCGATAGCTTTGTAAGGCTTTTTTTCTTACAAAATTTACACGAAATTGGATTATAGAGACGTGATCACAATAGATAAAGCTTCCGGTAAAATATCGAAACTTGGTCGATCTTTTACTCGTGCGCGAGATTACGATGCAATGGGAGCAGATGTAAATTATTCTTTTGTCGTTTACTTATCTTAAGAAGGCTACGCTTAACACTAAAAAGAATTGTTATTCGAATGGAATTTATTAGACTAAGTTTGTGCAGTGTCCTGAAGGAGAATTGCAACGACGAAGGGAAGTTGTGCATACAGTATCGTTACATGAAATAGACGTGATTAATAGTAGAACTCAAGGATTTCTGGCTCTCTTTTCTGGTAAGTTTTTGCAAATTATTTTTCATTTTTTCTATTATATACTGATCTATTATTTGATCTATTAAAGGTGATACGGGAGAAATTAAACCAGAAGTTCGAGATCAAATAAACACCAAAGTAACTGAATGGCGGGAGGAGGGAAAAGCGGAGATAGTTCCTGGAGTACGTGTTAAATTTTCAATGTTACGATTATTTCTATAATATTCATCAAAGTACTTTTTATTAGGTTCTCTTTATTGATGAAGTTCACATGCTCGACATTGAATGCTTTTCGTTTTTGAATCGTGCTTTGGAAGATGAGCGAGCCCCCGTTGTAATTATGGCCTCAAATCGTGGTATTACACGTATTCGAGGCACAAAATACGAAAGCCCGCACGGTATTCCTCTCGATCTCTTAGATCGTCTATTGATCATAAGTACAATCCCTTACGGTCAAGAGGAAATTCGACAGATTTTAACAATTCGGTGCGCTTAAATTTTTTATTAAATTATCGCATTTTTTTTTCGACACATGTTGAATAACAATTAAAAATAGATGTGAAGAAGAAGATGTGGATATGAGCAAAGAAGCGTATGAGGTTTTAACACGAATAGGGGAGGAAACTTCACTTCGTTATGCTATTCACTTGATTGCTGCTGGTAATCTTGTGGCGAAGAAAAGACGAGTAAGTTAATTGAGGATTTGATTCTTTTGGATTTATTGGTATTTTTCGTTTATTATACATTTATAATTCTATATATATATATAGGCGACCCAAGTTGACGTAAACGATATAAAACGCGTGTACCACCTATTTCTGGACGAAAAACGATCAGTAGATTTTATTCGGCAGTATCAGAAACAGTATATGTTTAACGAAATTGGAACAAAAAAGGAAGAGGATGAAAAAGAGGAGAAAGAAATAATATTAGATGATGCTATGGAAACTTGAATTAACAGCAGCGGGTTCAGTTATATTGTTGCAGTTGAATAAAGGTAATCACAGCAGGAGGTTTGAACAAATTTAAAAGTGTATAAGTTAATTGTAAATAAATTCCATTACGAGCTACGGGGATATATTTCGATAATGTCAATTTTTATTTTATGATCACAAACGACAATAAACAATACTAATAATAATATAATTATTTAGTCGTAACGCGGAGACAAACAATGGCTTAATTTTTAATTTATTTTTATTATTCGTCGTCCTCCTCCTCTTCGTCACCTGGTAAACAAATGAGAAAATACGATTAGGCCAGAAAAAAATGATATGCTTGAATAATAAATAAAGTACCTTTAGCGGGTTGTCGTTGACGTTTTCTCTTAACACGACCTGGACGTCCACCACCTTTAAAAAAAGATTTAAGGGTAAATTAAATATCGTACACAAATTATATGACCAAAAATGATTAAATCGATAAAGTAATACACGATACCATATGGTGAGGTAAGGGCAAAGTCAATATGTTTTTGAGAATCAAGGCTATATAATATTTATATATAAACATAAATAAGATTAAGAAACCGAAATTAATATGAATAACTTTTGTGAGAATAATGAACCATCGTGTTACTACTTACCGAACGATAAAACTTGGAACATCGACTATTTGCTTCCCGACACTAGCAACACCCATAATAACATAAAGAATAATTCTTCAATCATCCAAAAAAAACGAACGAATTCTTACCGAATATGACGCTGTCTAATCAAGACACGGGCATGATGAATAGATTTTGCTAATCCTAACTTAAACACTTGAGTCTGTAATCGCCTTTCTAAGAAATCTTCAATCTTCAACGCTAACACATAATCGAGTTTCATCTTGTGCTCATCCAATACACCGATTCTGACGAGTCTTCTAATAAGGGCATTTCCTTCGAATAGACGCCGAGGGTCTTTATCTTCCAAAGTCAGTAATTCACGTGCTGCACGTCGGATGTTTGAGAGAGTATATGCTACTCGCCAAATTTCACGCTTATTTCGAAGACCATATTCCCCGATTAGTACCAATTCTTGATCCATACGTTCCTTTTCAAAGGGACGTCGGGGAACCTTGTATGTTTTCGAGCCTAGATATCACAAAATTCATCATACATAGATGGGACCACCTTTCTAACACACACTCAAAATGCAAAGTGTAAAAAAACAAGGTTTTCCGTATATTTTATTTAAACATACATACAGTTTCTCGGAGCTCCTGGCATTTTGACTACGGTTCAAGAGGAAAAAAAAAAGAAGGGAATATGTCTGAGCAAACGAGCGAATAGCTTTTCCGAGGTAAGGTTTTTTTTGCAAAAATTTTTTTTTCGTCGAACACGTGACAAAAACTAATCAAATAGTAGATTCTTATTGTAAAAATTTAAGCCTCTCTTTCGAGCTGTTGTGAGCAAAAAACCACTTTTTTCCTTTTTATTTCAAAAGAAAGGTATAGTTCTTATCAAGTGTATTTTTTCTTGTTATATTTAATCTTGTCCCAAGACTGAGTGCATCTTTTTCATTTTTTTCTTGGAAAAGAGTAAAAATATGCCGCACTCTTACGGTATCCGTGCCCGCACGCGGTACATGTTTTCCCGCAGGTTCCGCGAAAAAGGGCAAATTAGACTCTCGACCTTTCTAAAGACATATAAAGTAGGGGATATTGTTGATATCAAAGCTAATGGTGCCGTGCAAAAAGGCATGCCGCACAAATTCTATCATGGGTGAGAGAATGGAAAAATATACTTTAAAAATTTATGCATGAAAACATCGTAAAGAATTAATCGAGATCGATTTTATTGTTTTATTGTGTTTGATGATGTGGTGGTGGTGGTGGTGTAAAAAAAAAAACATTAATAGTCGCACTGGAATCATTTACAATGTGACCAAATCCGCTGTTGGTATAATCATTAACAAACGAGTTGGCAATCGATATCTCGAGAAACGAATTAATGTCCGTATCGAGCATATTAAACATTCAAAGTGTCGAGATGATTTCTTACGCCGAGTTAAGGAGAATGCTCGACTAAAGCGTGAGGCTAGAGAGAAAAAAGGTTCGTGTTTTATTTTTATTCATGTGTTTGTTGAATTTTTTCTTACGTGTAATTTTCATGAGTTTTGGATTTGAAGTCACTAAATTAATGACATTATTTGAGATGTGATTTATTAATTGATTTAATTAATTTTTAAATCAACAGAAACAGTAAATCTTAAACGACAACCAGTGTTGCCTCGACCGTCGCATTTCGTGTCTACAATGAAAAATATACCGCAAACTATTACACCGATTCCATACGACACACTTGTATGATGAGCGAGTTATTAGTTTAGATAATAGCAAATTAATAAATTATAAATTATAACGATGAGACGAATTTAAGTGGCTTGATGTCATTAAATTGTGGCGTGGGAATCCACTTGCACGAGTTTAAAATGTCGTTATTCAGATTTATAAATTATTGAAAACATTGTCGCCTATCAAATTTTCATATCGATAATCTTTTTTTCTCATAACCTTTTGTCTATTGTCATCCTCTCACGTGAAACGTCACATAAAGCATTATAAAATAAAAAGAAAACAGTGTACCGCGTTATATTTTTTATCTTATCAACAGCGTGTGTGTAAGTGCTAGTCGTTTGTTCGTTCGCTCCCTTTGCTTTGTCTCGTACAATAGAAAATAAGTTTAGGAGAAATGACTGACGAATCTAAAGTTCCCGAGGTAAATGAAATAGCAACAGCAGCAGAGAATACTACCTTGCAACAAATGACAAACAACGACAACAGCAACAACAATGTGGTGACTGAAACAAACCAGACTGGAGATATTACGAACCAAGATGTGCCGCAACAACTCTCCTACTATAACAGTAACCAGTTTAAAACTGAGCCACCACCACAACAACAGCAGCAGCAGCAGCGGCAGCAACCACAAAAAGAAAACGAACAGCCACAAGAACAGTCTCATGAACCTTCTCAAGATACCACTGAAGTTTTTTCTATTACGACTAACGAAGCATCTATAGACAAGATTGTTTCCGTCCCTGTTGAGCAAACAATGTCGTCTCCCTTTGTTATTGATGTTGAAGGCTCAGGAAAAACAGAGTTGATACAGATTCCTCCTTCTCCTAAAGAAAATGAGACATCTGTACAGCAACAGCAGCCTCCTTCTATCACTAAACCAAACGAACAAACTGATATTGTAGCTAAAATGGATCAGGTAACCATTGTTCAAGCTCAACTTGAGGCGGATAACCTGGGTGTTCAAGAGGTACCACAACACGAAACTGAATTAAAAGATGTGAATGTCGCTCAAAATGTCAATGTCGCTCGAAATGTCAATATCACTCCAACTGAAGCTGTAATTAAAAATGAAGCGTTAGTTAAAAATGAAGTGTTAGTTAAAACTGAAACGGTCATTAAAAATGAATCTCTAGTTAAAAACGAAGCTGTAGTTAAAGTTGAATCTGCAGAATCCATAGCACAAAGTGAATCTGTGGCTAAATTTCTTGAAATTGCTAAATCAGAAACTCTTGCTGATAATAATACTATTTCGAATACGTCGGTACTTCCGCCCTCAACCGCGGCGGCGACTAACTTGCCTCTGTCGATTCCTCCAGAACAGCAGCAGCAACAGCATCAGCGTCAATCAACGTCATCCGCGATGAATATTGATTCTCCTGTTCCATTTACTTCGAATATCACAGATACATCTTCGTCATCAATTGATTATAAAAGCGCTCCACCTCCGTCTTCCCTAACGCCCCCACCTACTAATCCTCCTACAGATCAGGTTCAATTTCATGATGCGATGGCAAAAGTTAAAGCAATTGCTGCAAAATTACAACAACAAGCAGCTGCAGCCGCTCAAAGCAACATAGACCCATCTACTAGTCCGATTCAAAGTTTGTATATCTTTTTTTTGACTTTAATTACAAGAATAAAGATTTGGAGCCAATTTTTTTATGCACATAAAAGTCTCTCATCAAGGTGTGAAAAGATCGCACGAAGATAGTTATATTTCAGTTTCACATGGTGCAAGAGATAACAACAGCCGTGAAGATTATCGAGATGAATATCGTCGCGATTCTTACCGTAGATCGAATGAAAGAGGTCGATACGAAGATTATGGGAGAGACTCGAAGAGAACAGCCTATGACAGTGGTTCTTCTCGTCCAGAATGTATTTTATTAATTCACTTCTTAAATGTTCTATTTGTGTTTAATTTCTAATTCATCTTATTAAAATTCAGATGATAGCGGTGGCAGACACCGTTATGGACTTGGTAGTGAGGAACGTCGTGCGCACCATGGCTCGCATTATGGTCCAGGTGGTGATATGTCGTCACGCTCAAACAACGTTCACGAAGAATTCAAAGTTCCAAATGCTGTCGTGGGTCTAGTGATTGGACGTGGTGGGGAAAATTTGAAAAGAATAGAGAAAAATACTGGTGCTAGGATTCAATTTTCACAAGGCGAGCTATCAAGAAAAAGATCATCGTCAATCAAATAGACGTCAGACAACTAATCTTTATGAATTAAATAGATCAACCTCCGGATGCAATTGAAAGACGCGTGACAATTACTGGAAACGCAGACGATGTACAGAGTGCCAAAGGAATGATCCAACAGCTGGTAGATGACGCTACTAGTGGAAATACTCCTGGTCGTCGTGATTCTTTTGGCCCTAACAGAACAACCATTACTATTCATATTCCAAGCAGTAAAGTGGGTGTTGTAATTGGTCGTGGTGGTGAGACAATACGCGATTTACAAGATAGAAGTGGTGCACGTATTAATGTCACACCCGATAGTGCTGCGCTTCCGTCTGCAAGTGATCGCCCTGTTACTCTTATTGGTGATGATAATGCTGTTCAAAGGGCTAAAGCTCTTATTGATGAGATTGTTAATACGGGAGATCAACCTTCCGATAGGGTATCTATCAATCATTGACTAGTGATAAATGAAATATTTTTTCATTGTTATATATTTTTAATTTATCGAAATATACAGGGAAATCCGAAAGATTATCCTTCAGGTGGTTATGCTAGTGGTGCCAATGCATATGGTAATGATAGCCATGGGTCAGGTAATTATGGTGGTGGCGGTGGTGGCCATTATGGCGGCCTTGGGAGTCAATATAATGGACCTCCAGGAAAATCTTCGCATGAAACTATCACTATTCAGGTACCCAACGATACGGTTGGACTCATAATTGGAAAAGGTAGTTATTTAATTATTTTTCGTGATTTGAAATACGTGTGCTAATCAATTTTGAATAAAAAAGGTGGCGAAACAGTAAGGCTATTACAACAACAATCCGGCGCAAAAATACAGATAGAACCGGTTATTGGACCGCCACCTGTTGAGCGTAACGTGCACATAATTGGTAAGTCTGCATCCCTCGTGTTTATTTGCTGCTTGTTATACGACCAATATCTATACTCGATAAATTCAATGCCAGTCCATTCGATTATTATTATTATTATTATTATTATATTATTGCTGTTGCTTTGCGTTCATGATGACGCGTGCTCATTGCTGTAGGGACTTCTGAAAATGTTGCTGTCGCGAAATCTTTGATTCTTGAAAAAGCTGCATCTGGAAATGTACATGTCGTTTGCCATATCGCTTCTTTGTTGAGTGTGATTGCTATGCTTTTTTTTTCGATTAATTATTTTGGTCAAATATTAAACATTTTTTTGTTTTGATTGTTAATTTGTTTTTCTTCCTCTTCCATATTTCCCTCGCCGTTTATTCATTGTAACGAAATGTACTTAGCGTGATCGACCTTCACGTCATGATCAAGGAAGAGGAAGAGAAAGTGGAAGTGGGGGTGGCGGCGGTGGTGGAGGTGGTGGAAGGTAGGTTTTCCGATTTTCTCGTTTATTCTTTATAAACATTAATATAAAATAAATAATATAGTGACTATGGACAAAGTAGTGGAGGAGGATATCAACAAGGCGGTGGCTATCAACAACAAAGCGGGTATCAACAAAGTGGCTACCAACAAAGCAATAGTAATTATGCGCAGAGTAGTGGATATCAGCAAAGTCCATATTCTACTAGTACGTACACCGCACAGCCTTCTCAGCAACCCAGTTATAGTCAAAACACTTCCATTGACTATAGTCAAATGAACATACCGGCTCCTGTTGCAAGCGGATACGCGCCTTCCTCAACATCATCTACATATGGTGCTACTAGTCAACAGCCACAAACTACCGCTTCTGGTTACTTACAGTATGGTGCTTATACTCAAACTCCATCCACGACAACCTATAATCAATATCAAACTCAGCCACAATATACGGCGTATCCACAACAGACTCAGTATCCTCAACAGCAAACTCCACAAACGATACCTACTAATCAAGCCACAACAATGACATCTAATCCGCAGAATACCACTATTCAACCACAAGGTATGTTTCGTTTATTAAAATTTATTTATATATGAATATATTTTCATAGCATAATGATGATAATGATAAAACAACAGCCACAGGTTATTATCAAACACAGCCGATAACAAGTGACCCCAACAAACCCATCGACGCTAAACTGGATTCACAAACACCGACACCATCTCAATATGGGTATCAACAGTATGCATACAATTACGGGACTACTACGGCTGCTACTACATCAATACCATATCCTACGAATACCCCACAAACAAATATTTCAACTACTGCTGCTACGACAACCACGACGCCTACTTATCCAACTACCTCGAGTCTATATACTGCCTCAACGAATACAACTGCGCCTATTTCTACGACAGCAGGAACCACAGATCAAACATCGCAAGCTGCAGCATACGCTAATTATTATACACAATATCCACAAGACCAATATAATCAACAGAATTACTATCAACAGTATTATCAGCAGCAGCACCAACCACAGCAACAACAGCAGCCACAACCTTACGCCTATCCAACACAAGGCACTACTGGTCAAACTGGAGAGGCTCCAAAATAGTAATTCCTTCCTTGTGTGTTTTTGTGTGTGTGTATGAATGCTGACTTTTGCGTGCTCTCGTTCGTCGTGATGATGATGATGATGATGATGATGATGTATTGTGTATGATAATTCAAGACCTCCCGTTTTTGTGTGTTTCTTTTGTCCCAAATTTTGCCCTCATCATAAGGTTGTGTGTATGTGACTGTGTACCTACCTGTCATTGTATGTTTTGCTTGAGTGTAAATAACGTGTGCGTCTGGCTATTTCGTTGCTTCCTGTCGGTTTATTTTAGATAGATCGAATCTTGTTGATCGATACCTTTCTTCATTATTATTATAATTGTTATTTATAACGACGACATTTTCTCTCTAAAATAGTTTTTTTATTTTTTATTTTTGGGTTAATTATTTCGCAAAAAATTCATAGGGTTTAGGGTACTAAGTAGATTTGATTGGGTTTTTTTTGCCCCTCTATTTTTTCTGTATTGATGATATCGTTGATCCTATATGCTTTGTTTTGGCTTATATTATATGTCATAACAATAATTCGTTGCTGCTGGATCACCACTATATCGCTTGTATTTAATCAATAGGTATTACGCTACGACTCGATCGATCAATCAATTAATATTGCTGATCGCTCGATTTAAATTGATTCGAGTAAATATTAATATCTTTATTACCGTAATAATGTGATAATAATAGATATGTTATATCTAATAATTTATGCTATATTGTTATAAGTGATAATAAATAGAAATGCTATAAATTATGATGTTATAAGTGGAAGAGAGAGAAATGAGTGATGAATACAAGGAATGAATTGATTATGAATACAAGTAATACAAGTAATAAAAAAAATGACTATTCATCAAAAGGCTCCTTAACTAATTAAATAGCACATAATTATTCTTTGAATCCACCAAAAAATCATGCGTGCAATGGATATTGTAACCTTTTCACACCCACACAAACCTCACATCGAATATTACTGTTTTTGTTGTGAAGGTGGTGGTAGGTTATAATGCCCCGGTTCTGGGAAAGCGATACCTTCAAAGGTGGCATTACAATTTCTACACACGGTTTTTTTCCGCGAGTATCCAAAGCATCGTGGTAATCCAAAACAAAATGCCCAGAATAACGAGCCGTAGGTGCTGGTAATATAATCGTTAATAACATATTTAAATTATAGTATTGACTATAAAGAAATCATTCATACGTACTAATGTGACCTCAGCTCGTGGTATCCTCCTTTTGGACATGGTCCTAATTGTGTGGCTATTCGACGTTGTTCGATAATTGCTGGGTCTATTAAGTTGAAAGAACCCAAAAGTTTAATGACGATATATTTTCGGAGAAATCATGGAGGTGAAAAGAAGTCAAACTTGCCTTCACTAGTTTTATAAAGATTTGCATCGCCAGGATATGCCATTATTATGTTTCTTAATAAATTCTGTTTTGTTTTTCAAGTCTATCTTCTTTCTTGCTATTTGTTCTCATGACATCATTGTGTCTATTTTTAAATAACATTAATGCACAAATCTATTTTATTCATTATGCATTGTTTGTCGCTATGACACATTATATATATGCGAAATTTTTTTAAATGCTAAGAATGGCCAGATTTTTTTATTCATAAAAACATAGGTACTTTCTTTCACTCCAAGATCAATTATTATTCATACATAAGTATAATATCGATAATAGTAAAGAATACAGAAAATATTCAATGATTAAATTACAGTTTTTTTTTGAGCATGAACTATCGTAACTTGAAATAAATAACGTACATACATACAAAATACATAGTGTTGATTTTTTTTTTTACATTTAACAGAACATTCTGACATCAAACAAACACGCATACATCCGTTCTCTTCCCTTCCTTCACGTACCCCTAAAATCAGGTTCATCTCCAAATCACAAACAACATACCAATCATCAAATATTTTAACAAGTTCCAATCTATGATTACGGAAGTAGCACCCGATTTCCCTTGAGTCGAATTGCCATTGCCATTGTTATTGCTGTTTTTTGATGTTGGAGAAGATCTCAATTGCGCGAAGGCAATCACATAGTTTTCTTGTGTGGAGATTAACTTCAACACGGAGAAGTCGCTGAATGAAAACTGGTTGTCGAGTTTAAAAGCTATCGAGGAGGGAACGAAGGATTGTGTTACCGTCATGTTAGAAATTGCCACTGCTGGTGACGTTGGGTTGGTGTCGTTTGAACCATACCAAAATCTAATTATCATTTTATAATGGATGATGAACGATGATGATGAGGACACGCAAATTTAATGAATGAAAAAAAGAATTTTGGTACATACGACAAAGGAGCCGCATAATAATAAACGAAGTTTTGCACGGTAAAGGTGCATCCGTCTGTAACAACAACCGTTCCGTTAATCGTGATATTATAAGACATAGAGGTATTCGCGATCTGTTGCAGCGGAGCACTGGTCGCGTTAAATACATTAGGGTCACACTGTGTTGCTGAAACAACTACGATATGACTTTCTAGTACGAGGAAGATAAGTAACGCTAGAAAGGATGTAAGCATACAAGTTGTGCTAATAAACGAGTTTGAATGGTTTTTTGACATCTCAAGAGTTCTGTAGGGTATTCGGACTTTTATTATTTTATTCTTTTGTTGAAAAAAAATGGTTGAATAGGATTTTAATTGACTTTTGTAGAACAACCACACGAAATTTCGTTTTTTATAAGTATATAAAATAATAAAAACCGAGAACCTTTAATTTTTTTATTATCGTTAGTATTTAATATTATTATATTATTATTTATTATTAACGTTAATATTATAGAGTATCGTGTTCTGATATAAATTTATAATTGATGAAATTAAATAATAAATAGTATTACAGTTAGTTTCATTTCGTTTTGGGGGGTTCTTTTTATCTTTTGGTTGCCTAGATATAAAAGAGAAGTCAGACGGCGACTGCAGAAATCAAAAACATACATATCGATTTACACAGTATGCACGTTTCTTGCTTCTTTTTCGTAATTAGTTAGTCACACTAGAATGGTTGTTTATCACGATGATTATTTTTATTATTAGGACAGTTTACTTTAATTTTTAATGCATATGTAACTTTTTGCCATATCGATCAACATCACAATTGACGTTTTTTTCGATCTTAGATTTAGAGTTTTTTATTTGAAATGCAATTGTCTATTTTTAAACAGTATCATATGTCTAATATCGAAAATACTATAAATTATTATTTGTAAATAAATATATATTATAATGGGAATATTTTTAAAACTTTATCGTCGTCGTCTTCTTCTTCTTTGTAGTTGCAGTTTCTTGTGTTTCATTGGTAAATGCTAAAACACTGAAATAGGAAAAATTGATATTAGATACAACCTTAATTATTGTGTCACATGGGAGAGAATGCATTTACCTTGGGATAACTGATTGCGCTTTTAACATCGCTTCGCGCCATTCTTCATCCGCATTAGAAAGAAAAGTAATTGCACCACCAGCACCAATTGACAAATCTTTTTTTTCCAAAAATTGGAATATCATAAATTGGTATTATTAACAATTTAAATGTGCATTCCAGAAAGATCAAAATAAATCTAATCTCTTACCAGTCCCATTTCCAACAACCGCCGTTCGAATAACAACGCTAAACATCGCACTGCCTTTTTGTCGAGCTTTCGTTCCATCCCCGATTGAAAGATATCCCAAGCATCCGGAATAAACCCCACGAGGTATATGATTCTCAAGTTCATCCAAAAGTTGCACGGAGCGTAGTTTAGGTGCTCCAGTCATAGAACCTTTTTCGAAAGGAGAATAATATATCAAATATATATCTTAAGAATATAGATGCATAAATATTAGAAATAGTAAAACATACCAGGGGGGAAACATTTACGCACAGCTTCTACACAATCTATGTCACTCTTCAAAGATCCATGAACAGTCGTTACTAGTTGATGCATGGTTTCATAAGTCTCTACTTTCATTAATAATGGGACTCGAACTGTTTCTGGTAGACATATATGCACCAAATCGTGACGGATTAAATCGACAATCTTTTAAATGCAAATAAAATTAATATCTCTTGTTAGCGGCGCGGCGATAATATTATAGATAAAATAAATAGAGGCGAACCATTAAATTCTCCGCTCGTTCTTTGACGTTGCACTCCAAGGACTGTGCTCGTTTACGATCTTCTTTTTTCCGATTCAGTTCACATTGTTTACCCTTGTCACATTTATCCACACAAAAGCATCCAGAGGCAACAGCCACCGTACCCTTTATCGGTTTCATCTCGACACATCCATCACTTGAAATCTCTATAAATTTTTCAGGAGACGAACTTAGGATTATCGAATCTTCAGCGGCGAAATCAAACAATGCTGAAAAAGGTGCTGGGTTTTTTCTTCGAAGATGTTTATATAACTCGAGGGAGTCATCTAGTCGTTGATTTAAGGTTGTACGAATTTGAGTGGTTAAACATATTTCGTAGCTTTGTCCGTCGTGTATAAATGAACGTGCTTGTTCTATAGCACTTATATATGATGGGTAATCTATATCAGGAATAAATAATGATGATGATGATGGTATTTGGGATTCTAACGAATGTTTGTTTATGCGCTTTTTATCAGATTTATTCTCTATGTAATTAGAAGACTGTCCATTGTTGTCTTTACATCGATGATTATTAAAATTCAGTTTCAATACACTGCCACCAAATTGCCCTTTTATTAAGCAAAGTAAACGATTCTCAGTTGCCTTAATCCAAGACGTGAAATCACGAGGTGAAAATCCCGTAGTAATGTCGAGCACATCTTTAATATCCTCAACATTATTAACAGAATGCTCTTTTTCACGTATTAATCCAGCAAGCCATATTCGCTTCTCAAGATGATCAAACACGATTGCCTGCGTAGCAAATATAAATGCCGCGTCAACCTGATTACAAATATTTTTCTTCCATTGTTCTTGTGGTATCACATATCCGGACAATGATTCACGTTTCATCTCATACCCAAAATATCCCATCATTCCCAGTCGAAAATCAAATGGGACTTGTTGACTTATCAAATCGTCATGTTGATGGCCATCAATGATTACGCATGTTCTGGTAACACATTTATTAAAAAGATTCATAGTGTCAGACATCCAATCCCAAAATGTTTTACCTCCAGTTAATACTTTTGACATTACGATTCCATTTGAACATGTGATCTGAAGTCTTTTGGGTAATGTCGCATAGGAAACGGAGAATGCATTTGCCTCAGATGGAGTAGATCCCATGAATGAGAAACGACTTTGAGGATCTGGTCGCTTTTAAGTATCATTTTGTTAATCATCTGTTTCAAATAAGAAATCATTTTTATATAGACATAAATACCCTAGCACTGTCCAGCCACCATGTTCCTAATAATGATGGATCAACTGACACGATATTTTCGAACACTTTTTCCGAGTCTATCCAGATATTTTCATTGAGTCTTTTAAGAACTATGTGGTATTTGGGAGATGTACAAGATGATGATGATATTTCTCGAGGTCTACTAATGAATGTTGGGATAATTGAAATATCTTGAATATGTGAAGGAAGTTCATGGTGTTGGAAAAATCTTCCACGCTGTGAAATCATAGGAAAATAACTATTAAATAACTCATGAAAAAATAACTTAAAAAAAAAACGAAATGTATACCTTTTTTAGAAAAGAGTAAGTAATTTTTTGAAAATTTTTCGCTAATTGGTGGCCGTATTCTGTGCATATAGACTTTATGAAAAATTTCCTTATTAGCAATAAGATCTTTGATTTAATGAACCGCTCAGCAGCTTACAAAATAAAATGTGAAAATACTTCGGGATGAAATTGAACGCCATAATAAGGTTTATATTTATGTTGGAGACCCATAATTATGTATGCCGCTCCGTTGTTTAATTCCGAAGATGAAAAACGATTATTTTCCTCCTCATTAGAAGAAAACCAAGCGGTAATCATTAGATCTGATGGTAGGTCTAAATTTAAATTTGTATTACCTTTTTAAAATATTTAGGCTAAAAATCACTATTAAATAAAGAAATAAGCTCACTTTGATGATCAACCACAAGACTATGATATCGTACACCATAAAAAGCGTCGGGAATTCCAAAAAATAAAGAATCCTCTTTATTTGTATCATTATGTCTAATTAGACTCGATTGTCCATGCATTATTTTTGGAACATGTATCAACTAATAAATTGATTAATCTATTGATTAATGAATTAAAAAGCCAGGTGGAATTTCAAAAAATTACCTTGGCCCCAAAAGCAGTCCCAATTCCCTGATGCCCCAGGCACACGCCCAGAACGGGAACATTACAATCCTCCAATTCAAGCAATTTACCACAAATTCCAAAGTCCTAATAATCAAAAAACAAAAAAGAGCAACAAAGACAAAAAGACGCGTCAAAAAATGAATTTTGAATTTGCATTTCTCTTTGGGTACATAGAAAGGGGGGCTCCTACACAAGCTTTTTCGGGGCTACCTGGTCCCGGTGATATGATCACATTGTCAAAGTACGGAAGGATGTTGGTTTTGAAGTAATCCCTGTCAAAAAAGATATTGGTAAATATGAGTTTCGTTCGACGTAAATTAAATTTCTGTTCCTCACCATTCAAATTGGTCGTTTCGAATTATTATAACATTGTTAGTGGTAGCGCCAAAGCACTTTTGAGTCGCTTTGCTGTTATTATCAGCACTGGATTTGTTCCAGAGATGAAGCAGGTTAAATGTATAAGAGTCATAGTTATCGATAATTAAAGTTCGTAATGTATGTTGGCAGTCTTTCATAATATTATTTTAAACGTGTAGTATACTAGAATCTGATCACCTATGCACGCATATATTTGTAAATGTGAGATTTCAGGTAGCGAAAAAAGAAAATCTAAAATCTAAATCTATTTCCAAGCGGTTTATTTTATATGACGAAATTTTTATCGTACTCCCGCTTTTTCCCCCATATTTTGACACGTCGTAAAAAAAAATTTAGAATATATGATTTCACGTGGGTGCATTAAATGATGTGATGTGACATTTTTACTATATTGCGCAACTTTGAACCCTTTTTAACTTTTATAAACAAACCAGGATTCTCCCACACAACTAAATGTACGGAAATGTCGGTCTCGCGACCCCACGTGGGTCTGGAACAAATGGCTACGTGGTTCGCAATCTTTCATATATTCGTCCTAGGAAGGACGTCGTCGCATTTGAATCTTATGAAGAGATTGCGGCGAAAAATAGTTCGGCTTTGGCTAACCGAACACCGAATAAGGAAATTCTTGAGCACGACAAGAAAAGACAAGTTGAGCTTGAGTGTATGCTGCTTCGCGAAAAGCTAGAAGATGAAAAGTATGTTTGTTGTTTTGATTCGAATAAAATTGCAATATTATCAAATATATCAAGGGTTTTTCTAAAAGTTTCTGGTTCTGTTGTATAGTATTCCTGAAGAGGAGATTGAGGAAAAGGTAGATGCTCACCGTCAAGAGTTGCTTTCCAAGCTAGACCAAGTGAAAACTACTACAACGTAAAGCATATTTTCTTATTACAAACCTCCTTTCTTATAATTAAGTGCACGCATTATGTACATCCTTTCTAAATACATTTTATGGCTCAAACTTATAAACCCTCTATAAAATGTCTCTCTAAATGCGCCCTCTGATTAGTAATATAGTTCCAAGGGGGGGCACTTTAAGAGATTTGCCTGTATATTTTTTGCGAATTCTTAAAAGTAATATTCATTTGTTTCACCTTATTAATAAATTTTTAGTATTCAAGAGCATCAGACTCATCAACTTTCCGAAGCAAAAGCGGCCGAAAATGAGAAAATGATGAAGGCTCTAGGCATCGATTCATCAACATACTCGGAAGGCGCGGCCTTCGACAAAGAATTACAAGAGCAAAAAAGAAATAAATTAAAAGAACAGCGTGATTTAGAGTACGAAAAAAAGAGACAAGGTTTCGAAGAACGTGAACGTAATAGAAAGGAAGCGGAGGAAAGGAAAAGTGGTGCTTCCGGTGCTGCTCGTTCATCATCAAGAAGTGCGGAATTAGATAAAGAGTCGCGACATAAATCGTCATCTTCATCGTCGAGAAAACATGACAGTAAGAAAAACAGCAAGAGAAAAAGTCGTCGTAATAGTGATACGAGTTCTCGTCATAAACGCTACTCGAAAAAGCATAAACATCAAAGTGAAACTGAAAGCGAAAGTGAATCTGAAAGTGACAGTGGAAGTTATAGTGAGACTGAAAGCTCTAGTAGTACAGAGAGTGCTAGTGACGTGAGCAGAGAATATGGCAAAAAGCGGTATTCATCATCATCCTATTCTAAGAAAGATATCCATAACGATCGACGAAGAGTAAACTCATATGAAGAAAAAGACAAGAAAGTCTATCAAACTAGAAGAAATAACCGCGATGATAATGACGACGACGATAATTACAGTACCGATGATAGTCACACTGATAGGAAAGAACGACGAAAAGCACGATCCCAACACAGAACTCATTATTCTGAATCTTCGAAACATCGAGGACACCGAAGAGAAGGAAGCATCCCTACCCCCATCCCAAGACGTCACAGGAATAGCAGTGCTTCGCCTCCGCCAAGACACTACCGCGACCAAAGTCTATCACAGTCACCACCTCAAAGACGAAGGCATGATGATGATAATTTTTCACTACCAAGAAAGCGTATTGAAAGCGTTTCTCCGCCAAGACGGGATACAAGGAGACGCTACTATAATGAAGAAAGTATACCTGAAGTTTCTGCTTCCTCACAAAAAAAAATCAACCATTATGAGCAGGATCGAAAAATTTATACTGATGATAGAACTCGAAAAGTTAAGGTTGAGGAAAAAACCAGCTCTCCGGATCAGGATCGAAAAAATTATTCTAATGATAAAACTCGAAAAGTTAGTTCAAAGTCAAAGGAGGAATATGATGCAAAAAATAATCATCCGAACATTTCTATTCCACAAAAATACCGAGAATATACAGAAGAATCTTCAAGATCTTCATATGATCATCGTCGCATGCGGGAAAAAACGTCACCAAGACGCTTAGAAGAACGTAATCGTCGACACACTCGATCTTTATCCCCTCAAGAAAGAGACTCCTATCATAGACGCTCTGCTGAGAAAAGGAGAGATGACTCAAGTGATAGCGAAGTAAATGCTCTCTCACGACGCGTAAATAGAAAACGACAGAAATCAGGATTATCTGAATCCAGCTCACCAAGCAACAGTTCATCCTATGATGATGAATATCGTAACAGGAGACGCGGTGACGAAAGAAAAGAAAGCATTGAAGGCAAAGCAGTGCTTCCTGAACATCTTCAAAAAAGACAAAAAGGGCGACATGATAGCAGCACCACCGATTCCTCCGATTAAGCAAAAAAAAGATTAAGAAATTGACATTATCTTGCATGATTATTAATTTCTCATTTATTACTTAATTTATAATTTTCAATGCATTGCATCACGGTATTTATTCTTGGAGAATATGGTTTTGGTCAGATAACATAGGAAGATTGCAAAAATAGGTTATACTTTAATAAATCGCAAACTTTTCTTCTCGATTGCAATCAGATAATTGTAAATAAACATAAACTACTACTATACATATTATTGCCTAATATTAAAACACTCAATAAAACTAAATGTCTATTCCTTTTTAACCACTACACATTACACAATTTTCCTTGTTCTCGAGCGAGCAAGTTAATGCAGCAACTGCAGCTGCATTTTTTGCCATTTCTTCGTCCATCGCGATCGATTCTTTGAGAGACGTTTGATCGACAGTAAACTATTAAAGAAAAATTTGTAGTAATGAGAATAATTTCGAACTCGGATTCTTCAAGATTGAATGAAAGAAAATAAATTACCTTGATGGCGTCCACTGCAGGTTTCGTTCTGAGGTAGTACATGCCTGTTTTAAGTCCTTTTTTCCATCCATAACTTTGTAAATAAAATAAATATCATTAATGAGATTTGGGATCAAGCAAGTACCTACTAGATTTCAATAAATCAAATACTTACAAGTGCATACTAGTAAGTTTTGCGTAATTTGGCTCTGCAATATGTATATTAAGACTCTGTGATTGATCGATGAATGCACCACGATCGGCTGCCATGTCAATAATGACTTTTTGTGAAAGTTCCCATGTCGTTTTGAATAAAGCTTTTAATTCATCGGGGATTCCAGAAACTATTATTAAGAATCAATCTTAGTATAAAGTGTTGAAATAATGAAGTGAATTCAAAATCAAAATACTTACTTTTTTGTATACTTCCATTGTCCGCAATGATCCTGTTTTTCATTTTTTCGCTCCATAGTTGCATTTCCACTAATTCCTTCAATAACCAAGGATTTACTACCTGAAATTCACCAGCTAGCACACGACGCATGTAAATATTACTGGTATATGGTTCGAAACATTCGTTGAAACCTAGAATCTGCGAGGTTGATGCGGTGGGCATCGGTGCCAAAAGCAAAGAATTTCTAACACCATGCTGCGAAATTTTTTGTTTCAGTTCGTCCCAGTTCCAAAGGTCCGTTGGTTCAACGTTCCACATCTCGTATTGCAGAATTCCCTTTGATACCGGTGAACCTGGATAAGTCTCGTAAGGACCTTGCTCTTTTGCGAGTTCGCATGAAGCCTCGAGAGCCCCATGGTATATTGTTTCAAAGATTTGTTTGTTGAGTTCTTGAGCGCGTGTCGAATCAAAAGGAATGCGCATTGCAAGGAATGCATCAGCCAATCCTAAAGTTTGATTTTATTTTGTCAATGTTATGGCTTGTTAATTTATTACTTATGGAAAGATTTATTGTTTGTACCTTGAACGCCAATTCCTATCGGTCGATGACGCATGTTTGATCGTCGTGCCTCTTCCACGGAGTAGAAATTAATATCAATAATCTTGTTGAGATTACGTGCAACAACTTTTGTGACCTATATTTAAGAATCAAGAAATCACTACCATCAAGAAACCTTGAAAAGACATTTAAGATTATTAAAGAAACTTACATCATGTAATTCTTGAAAATTATACTCATTCTTATTAATCACAAAGGAGGGTAAAGCGATACTAGCAAGATTGCACACTGCCACTTCGTCTGAACTCGAATACTCGATGATTTCAGTGCACAAATTGCTACACTTTATTGTACCGAGATTTTGTTGGTTTGATTTGCGGTTACACGCATCCTTATATAACATATAGGGTGTTCCGGTTTCAATTTGCGAATCTAGAATCGCATACCACAATTTCTGAGCTTTAACTGTTTTTCTTGCTAGGGCTTTTTGTTCATAAGATTCGTATAATTGCTATAATTAATCAGGAAATATTTTACACATGTATTTGATCATTATTAAAAAATCTGAAAGGATATCAATATTTCGATATAAAGATACTTTTAACAATCACTTACATCAAACTTTTCACCCCATACTTCATATAATCCTGGCGCCTCATTAGGATCAAACAATGACCAATCACCATTCAACTCAACTCTTCTCATGAATAAATCGGGAATCCAGAGACCATAAAATAAGTCACGAGCACGATTTTCTTCCTTCCCGGTATTTTTCTTCAAATCCAGAAAGTCGAAAATATCAGCATGCCAAGGTTCCAAATAGATGGCAAAAGCTCCGGGACGTTTATTTCCACCTTGATCCACATATCGAGCTGTATTATTAAATACACGAAGTAACGGGACAATGCCATTCGAATAACCGTTAGTTCCGGCTATGTATGAGCCAGATGCACGAATATTGTGAATGTTGAGCCCAATACCACCAGCGGTTTTCGAGATCATTGCGCAAGTTTTCAAAGTATCATAAATTCCTTCAATAGAATCATCTTTCATCGTCAATAAGAAACAACTGGAGAGTTGAGGTCTTGGCGTACCGGCGTTAAATAGCGTAGGCGAAGCATGAGTAAAGAATCGTTGACTCATCAGATTGTACGTCTCAATAGCCGCATCGATGTCTTCGCCGTGAATACCGACCGCAACACGCATAAGCATATGTTGAGGGCGTTCCGCGACTTTGCCGTTAATTTTCAACAGATACGATCGTTCTAACGTCTTAAAACCAAAGTAATTGTACATGAAATCACGATCGTAGATGATGGCGGAATTAAGTCGACTCGAATGTTTTTGCACAATGTTGTAAATCGGTTCAGAGATCATGGACGCAGATTTCCCCGTTTTAGGGTTGACATACGTGTATAGATCGTGTATCACGGTCGAAAACACTTTTTGCGTTTCTTTATGGAGATTTGATATGGCAATTCGAGCTGCTAAAATTGCGTAGTCGGGATGTTTTGTTGTCATGTATGCGGCTGTTTCTGCTGCTAAATTATCAAGCTCTACCGTACTAACACCTTGGTAAACACCTGATACCACCTGTAATTATAAATATAGAGATATAAAGAATATAGATATTATATATATGATATAAAAAGTCTAAGCGCAAAACAAAATATGATTATTTTATTAGAGGTATATTTGCGCGAACCTTTTGTGCTATCGCGACAGGGTCAATAAATTTCATATCAAGTCCATAACATAGTTTATTAATACGCGCCGTAATCTTAATTAATAAAATACGCGTCAATAAAATGGAATTACGCGCTTTACTATTAAGTATTCATTATTTGTACTAAAGTACCTTGTCAAATGCGACGCGTTCTTTTCGGCCGTCTTTTACGCAAAATGAAATAAAATAAAATAAAATAAATATATAAAACTAATTAATTACCTAATGATAAAACCATTTTTTTAATTTTATTGAAACTGACCTCGTTTAAAGACAAACATGTTGCTATGTGGATTAGTAGTAGTATTATTAGTAGTACTCGACTTTTATTATTATTAAATTAAGTAAAATAAGGGTAAAAATTTCATTTATAATAAAAAACGCGTAAATGAATTTTTTCAACTTTTTTCAAGAGGAAGATGGCGTTGGTCGCAGATCTTCCGAAAAAACATGTGGATGATCTGCAGGGGATCCATCACGAACTTCGAACGAGAACGTGTCCATCTGTTTAAAATGTTGTTAAGCAAACCTTATATTTGAATAAAAGGTTACCTTCTTGTAACATTAATAAAAATTGGAATCAATCAATCAATATTTTTTGATTCAAAATAAAAAAATCTTTTAAATTGTAAACGGTAGAAAAATTACATATAAGTTAATGATTAAAAAAATAGGTTAAAAGCATCTTATACTACCGAAAAATCAAAAAACGAAGCTATGCAGACTTAGGTACATATGCTGAAAGAATTTCATCTATAAAAAATGAAACAAAAAACCCATGTTTATATATTCTACAAGAATCAATAAGAACAATTCTGTTAAACGAAAGCGAACAAATCGTCTTCATCGGCCGGTGTTTAGTGAGAATTACTGATCAATTTCCATATAGACCAAAGCCGTGTTACAAGAGACAGGCTGGATGCTCAAGAATAAAAGTTGATATTAATTTACCCGTGTCCAAAATAGAGCTCGATTTTTAGCGATTAATCGGTAATCAAATTTCAAGATATCGTTAAAGCATAAAAAATCGCTAGATTTTATCGTTATTGAAATCATTACATGATTATTATAATTAGAATTTTACATGAAAAAAATAATCATGTAGTATTACATGATAAAATCCAGCCAATCAAAAATAGTACACGTGATTTTCAGGTTATAACTATCGAATAATACCAGTGAATCGTTCGTAGCGAAGGGCGCAATCATGTGATTTTTTAAGGGATAACCAATCAAATTCCAAGATTAATATCGATATGTAATAAAAAATTCAAAATCAAATATAAAATAGCTAGTATCTTGAAAGTTTGATTAAGAAATTATCTTTTATATTCTAATAATAAATATTATTTCAAAAATTTATATGAAAACTCTTATTTTATAATATTAATATTAGTATTATCTTTTCTAATAAATAATAGCATAAAGAATATAATTATTAAATATTTATATTATATATTATTTCTTTAATCATAAAAATATTTATATTAATATTTATTTTTAATATTATATATTTTTATTTTACTTTTATATTTATATTATATTGAAATCTCTTTTTTATATCTTCTTTATTTATCTAAATAATAATTTTTATAAAATTATTATAAGTAAATTATTTAGTTCAAGCTTTTCTTATTATTATATTATATTTTATTTTTTTAAATCTAATATAAGCTTTTATTCTTAAAGTTTCCAATCTGAATTTTTTTTAATTATATTAGAATAAATTCTTTCTTATAAATTAAATCATTATAATAAAAATAATTATTTATATTATTTATAATTCTTTTAAATTTATAAAAAAACTCTTCTTATATTTATAATATTTCTTAAATCAAATCTAATAAGAAAATAATTTAATAATCTATAATATATATTATAATTATATTATAACTATTTATTCATAATACAAAAAGAATTAATTAATATTCTTAATAAAAAATAATAACTTATTTCTTTAGTTTTTTTAAATTATATAAATTCTAATAATAATATTTCTTATTATAAAGATGAACATTAATTTAAATTAGAAATTTTTAATATTTTAAATATTATAAAAGAGTTTAAATATATTAAAGATATTTTATTATTAATATAATAATATAAATAAATAATATAAAATTTTTTTAATTTGTAAGATATTAATATTTTAATTATACTTAGAATTTGAATTTGAATATTTAAAATAAATTTTATAAGAAATATTTTTTGCTAAATAAAAGATAAATAATTTTTTAAAATTAAAAATTTTTTTATTATAATAATTATAATTAATTTATTTATCTCTTTAATTTATATTTATTAATTATAAATATTAATATTAATTTAGAAAAATAATTTAATTTAATATTATTTTTATATATTATTTATAAACTTTCTTATATAATTATATTATTAATTATATAATTTAATTTTAATTATAACCTAATTTTAATATTAATTAAAAATTATTTAATATTTCTAATTTTAAATTATATTTTTTAAATAATATTAATTAAAATTATAATATAATTTATTAAAATTCTATATATTTAATTAAAATTATATATAATTTTTATTAAATTTAATTAAAATAATATAAATCAAAATATTTATTTTAAAAATAATATACAATGATAATCAAAATTAATACAATACTTAAATTTTTTACTAATTATAATTAGTAAAAAATTTAAGTATTATATTATTTTCAATTATTACTATATATTTTTAAAATTTTATTTATAAAAAATATTTCTTGTAAACTTTTATTTTATAATAACTTTATAATATAATTTTAATAATAACTTTAATTTTTAATATAATTAGAATATTATTTATTTTATTAATTTTATTAAAATTTTTTTATTTAAATTCTTCATATTTAATTAAAATCTAAATAAAAATAAAATATTAAATTAAAAATAAAAATTATATAAAAAATAGATTAGATTTTTTTAATATTATTTTTTTAATTCTAAATTAATTTAATTTATATTTTTATTATTAATAATAAAATTTATATTTTTATTAAATTATAAATTAAAAAATTTAAAATTTATTAATTATAAATTTATTTATTTATTACTATTTTAAAAGTAAATATTATTATTCTTTTTATTTTTTTATTATTATAAATATTAATAATTATTTATTATATTTATTTATTATTTATTATTTATTAATAATATTTTAAGATAATTATTAAGTTTTTCTAAAATTATTTTTCTTAATTAATTTAAAGTTTTTATATATTATAAAATTAAATTAATTTTTTAATTTAAATTAATTAATTATTATTAATTTAAATAAATATATTTATATATATATTTATTTATTATAAAATTATAATTTTTTGTTTAATTATATAAAATATATATAAAAAATATTTAATTTATTTTCTTCTTTATTTTTAAAATATTTTTATATTTATTTTTTATATTATAATTAATTAAATTAAAAATTTTTATTTTTTATTTTATTTAAATATAAAAAAAATATTATTTATTATCTAATTTTTAGTTAATAATAATATTTTTTTTCTTTTCTTTATCTAATATATTATATTATAAAAATTCTTTATAAATTATATTATTATAATATAGATTTTTATATATATTTTATTAATATTAGTTATTTTATATTCACATTTTTATTAGATAATTATTTAATTATATTTTATTGGATAATAATTAAGATAATATTATTGGTAGATATTTTTAGATAGTTTTACAAGTATAATATTTATAACAAAATTATTATAACAAAGTTAACAAAACTATTATAGTAAAACTAGTAATGCTATCATAACAAAACTGATATTATGATACTAGCAAAAGTAGTATTTAGATCATAATAAAAGTATTATTTGTAAAATCTCTAAAATATATAAAAATAATGTATCTTAGTTAGAAATTAAAAAGTTAATTAATAAAATTAAGTTAATAAATAAAATAAATAAAATGACTTAATAAATAATAAATAAATTAATAAATTAAATAATAATAAGATAAAATAATAATTTAAATATAATAATATTATAAATTAATGATCTTTATTAATAATATCTTATTTATTATAATACATTTCTTATATTATGATTTCAGATCTCATTTTAGCTAATCACATCATGAATATACCCTTGTTACCTATCTTTAATCTCATTATAATCATAATCTAATGCTTATTATATTATATCTTTAATTATATTAGTTTCTCCTATTCATAATTAATAATATCTTTATTATATATTATTCTAGATAAATATTATATATAAAGTTATTAACCTATCATGAAATAATCTTTTTAAGGGGTATCAAAAATAGTAATAATACTAATAGTTATTATTATTAATATTTTATTATAGATATGATATAAAATCTTAACTGCACAAAAAGTACTAATATTATTTATTAAAAAAGTTTCTGATTTTTGAAATCTTTTATGGGAATTACAGATAACTAAAATAAATAAAATAATTTCAAAAAATATTGATATTCATTGACTATATCAAGAAGGCTTTAATAATCTTCAAATAGAACTTGAGAAGTTTTTTAGCTTAAATAATAAGTCATATGATCAAGAGTTTATGTATTTTAAAATATATTCAAGTAATTATGTAGAATCAACTGATATTATTCAAGTAACTAATATATTTCATAACTCAGAATGATTTAGTGATGTAGCAGTCTCTGTTGATGAAAAAGAAGAAATTTTTTGATATGAAAAGGTATAGTATATAGTATAATATTATAATACTATTTATTTACAATATTAATATTACAAAAGCTTCTATTATTAATAAATAATAATCTTAAATTTAAATACTATTATTATTTGAATTTTTTTACATAAAAAATCATGAACCATTAAAACTTGCTTTATTATAATGATATAATATATTAGAAGAAAATGAAGATGAAAATACAGAACTTTATGGATGTTCAAGATTATGATTGACTAAATAATATACATGTATTTATTTAGATTTAGTTAATATGACAGTACATATTATACTAAGATATGGAAAAAATAATAAATATTTATTAAATAAATATATTTTTTAATATTAAATAAAAAGTATTTTAGAAGTTTCAAGTCTTGAAAATAATTGAATATATGAGTATATGCATATTTATTTAGGTTATATAAGTTAAACTGATATTAATGTGATAAACTGATTTAAAATAAGTATTTGAGTTAACTATTAATATATATCATTTATTATTGATAAATAATATATTATGATAATGATTGATA